TAGTTTCTTAGACATACGTACTAAGAACTTGCTAAAAATAATACGATTTTACATGACCGTCTATTGTTACAGAATTGGAAAAACTACAAATCTACGGGGAAGCATACTTTGCTTATCTTTTTCTGTACTCTGGACTGGAATTTACCTTATCATTCCTTACGCGACTGCGTTTTCAGTATGACAGGTCAATTTGCAATCATAGATTCAGGAGTAATTCTACTTTTTAACTAGTAGTTCATTTTCCAACTTTAAATTAAGAAACAATTTTTGCTGTGTTCGTTTTTTGCTCTTTAGAAGAAGCCTTACCGTTTCAGTAGTTTGGTTTTACAACTGTTTGAAAAATAAAAATTCTAAAAATAGTTTCAACAGATGGCACTGAAAAAAAATCCTTATGTGCAATTGATGTTTTAATATTGCATACAGTTTTCGGAAGCTTTCGAAAAGTTTCTGCTTTTTAAATTCAGTGTTTGTCCCCGTTGATTTAACATTAAAAATTAATCTAGAATCTTTTTTCAACAATAAAAATACGGAAGTTTTCCTTTTCTTTGTTTCATATTTCCTGCTTATTATTCTAGACAAAAGAAACCAAGCATTTCTCACAATATATAATTGTTGCTTAAACGTGCATGATATTTGTTTCACGTTGCGCAAAGATTACTTGAAGTTTTTTAGTATGCAGCAGGGTAAAATGTTCCTGTTTGTTGGCCTTATCATGATCCTCACACAAGGCGAGGTTTTTTTTTTTGAGGATACTTATAATCATCTGTAAAAAATTTCTTTACTTAATATAAGCTTAATATGTTATCAAAAAATTAGAATTCCTAGCACTATAATTGGAATTAATACTTATTGCTTTCGTCAACATCCTTCATCATTTTGCCAAACTTATACCACTAAATTTGAAAAAATATTTTTAGGAGGTCTGGTGAGAAGGTTGCCGTCTGCGAAGCATCTAAAATTTGCATCTCATGGAATTTGGATGATTATACCAGCTTTCATGATCATTGGCCTGTCCCACAGTGTTTTAATGCTCTATATTGGAATTAGTCTGTATTCTATAGGTCGGAAAATTAGGAATTCACTTTCTTCTATGTAACCGTATTCATTCCCTTGTTCAAAAAAAGCTTGAACCGCAGCGCTGCAGTCGTCGACTGTGGTTGGCTTAGCAGATAAATGTCAGAACTTTCGTTAAAAGTTTCAATTAACTGGTATTACAGTAGGTCAAAAATGGCTTGCGAAATATGCACAATAAGATAATACATTTTGCAGCTTCTGGCATCGTAGTGCCTTGCTTAACTTCTCGTGTTTCCAACCTTTCATCGCCAAACTCTAAAGGTACCACACTTGGAGTATTCCGAAGCCTTGGTGCTCTTGCGAGAGCTGTAGGACCAATTTTTTCATCCGCAGGTAAGTTGCGCTAATTTCTTTCTTTTTTAATTTTTAACCTTCATCTTTAGTCTTTACGTCTGTTGAGAATTCCCAAAATCTATACTCTCGTAACAAGTGTTAAATCAGCTTTCTCATTTGATAACAAACGTGAAAAAAAAAGACAGGTCCCAACCACCAAGCATTTCTAGCGATATATTATTAGTATAAATAACTACAACTATTTTATATAGACGGCAGTTTATCTTATCCAGTTATAAAATGTTACTGGTTTAACACTCATTTTAGCATTTTGGTTGGTCGGTCCAGAAATTTCCTATACGATAGGTGGATTATTGTTAATAAAGCCCATTATACTCCTAAACCAAATCCGAAAAGATGCTTTGAAAGCTGAATGAGAAAAGAAACTATAGTAACAACAGCCAAACGATGTCTCTTCATTGCTTTTCAATTTAAAAGTCAAATTTCCATCTGGCTTTAAAAAATACTTCAGCCTCAGTTTAAGCCCATTGACACTGAAAGAGCGATGACAGCAAACATATCAGTCATCGTCGATACAACGATCTCCTAATTTTCATAACTAGAAGTCCTTGGGAATTCCCTGATGCGCTATCCACTTAGCAAATTTCGACTATAAATACGGGTTTGTTTTGTATGATTCCCCTATCTCTAAGACTATCTTCATGTATATACTTCCAATAACTTTCTGTACGAAGATGACGGCACAGTACGCAGGAGCAAAGTGGGGTTTCTTGCGATACGTTTCCCAATAGAACTCAAACAATACAAGACTCTTCAGAGTTTGAAAAATTATTAAATTCAGTACACTATTTCTGTGCCGTTTTCAAAAGTCAAAAAATTTTACTGTAACTCTGTACAAAATTTTCCTTATTCAAAACTAATTGTGACTTGAATTACTTCTTTTCATCTCATAAATAATCTGTTCATGATTAGATATTGTACCAGTTAAATAATTTCTTTAAAATACACGCAGCGTGATCAAGAAGATTTCTATTATCAATTTAGATCCACAATCCTGGCAAAGAGAACCAACCCGTGACCTAATTAAAGAAACATTAACTGAGCACTCAAAATAACACCAAAGAGATGCAATTATCGACCCTTAGTTGCTTAACTGTAAAAAATTCCAGTACGACCTTCCAAAAAAAAAACCCTTTTAAACTACCGATCTATCTAAAAAAGAAATACCTTGTTGAACATGCGTTGAGAAACAAGAGCTGACAGAACTTAGAAATTTATTGATCTGTCACGAAACAAAGTTCTTTTCTTTTTTCGTTGCTGCCAATGGGTGATAAATTGTAGCTACATTATCCGCATCTATTTCGATTTTTTCTGGAGCAAAGTTCCGACCACGCTGACAAACAAAACCACAGTACCGACTACTACATCGTTTACAGGGAACATGACAGCCTAAATACAAAACCCTTCATGTGACCCAATTACTATATATTTTTCTTTAAATAGCCAAAAAATATAAAAAACAGGCATTTTTTTAAAAAATGTTGGTGAAATATAGTATACGGTTTGTAGAACAAAAACGAACCACTACATTCTGACGATAAACAGTCACATATTCTTATGTGCCTGCCATCTTCAGTAACAAAACGACCCTCACGGTCATGGTGCGGGTGGTATTCATCTGGATCATCATCATCCATTCCTAAGAAAAAAGTAAACTTAGTTTGTCTTTCACTGAAACGATAAAGCCAGATCTTGAAACAATCACAGTATCTTACAACAAGGACGCAGGCTACCGAAGAAAACTGTGTATGTTGCGCTAATTGGTTTCCAGAGTCCAAAAATGTCTAAACTGACTGAATTTCAAATATTATAAATTTTGCACAACGATCTATTATCCGTCTAATATCAATGCCTATTGCAAACTACGCAGCAACAGAAAAACTACGCTAACTTACTCATTCTGTTATACACAAATAAGCTGCGCAGCCTAGTTATCCCCAAATAGATCCATTCTAGTTGTGATTTCTAAAGTCCACCTCATCTTGCAATGGCCCCATAATAGTTTAGCGTAAATGTTTTTGAAAGCTACGAAAATTCTTCACTGATGTCCAGTATAACTTCTGAAACAGCAAATAAGCAACCGTTTTTTTTCGACCGGGTTAGCAAAATGCGATGTCCTTCCTCCGTCCAAAATGAACAGGCATCCTCACTAGGTACAGCGACTGCACCGCCCGGATGGGAAAACTGTAGTTCTCGAGCAATACGATGGAGCTCTACAAAGAGATCAAAATAAACTTATAACTCCTTTCAATAAAAGCACATATGCTACAATCTTTATGCTACAGGAAAAAGAGACAGAAATATTACATACAAAAAAAAAATTACACGCTTACACACTTTAGGAATTACACTCTTTCCCGCAGTTTGCTAATTATGAAAGGTTAAAAACCCCAAAACCTACTAAAGCAGTTAAAAGAATAAGTAACAAGTATGGCGTCAGATAAAAAAATGACAAAATGTAGCATTTTGAGGAATAAAAAAAATTTGAAACCTACTTTGCTCCCGTTTGTAATCCTTCGAAGACCTCTCTGGGAAACAGGCCTTCCCTAAACTGCAGTCATTGAAAAAGAAGATTTCAGTTTTTTTTTTTTTTTTT